TTTCTTGTTGGCCATTATCAACTTGAATTAGTTCCGCGTCATATTTTTCTGACGATGTATAAATTACGGAGCGCGCGATGTTTCAATTCATAGCACATGAAGACTGCTCTGTATTTGTTTGAAATTCAATTGCTATGTTATATTTAAACAAGCAAATTGTAATCCGTTCTTAGGATGTTTATATCAGTTGTTGTTTTGTGGGATTAGCGGTACAGGGGGAAAGATAAGCATTCATTTACTCAGTGGACAGAGGCGGAGTTAATTACCCATGAGCACTTAGTGCAATCCAATGAATTGAGCGGTTCCCCTTTAAGAACAGAAGAACCAACAACAATTTATTGGTCCAATTGCTTGTTACTTGTCCTCAATACCCATAATGCAATCAACATAATGATCAATTTATTTACAGTCATCGGATTCGATTTTTTATTTTTTATTTTAAACGGTAATTTTGTTATGTGAAAATATTTTTCTTCTTATTACTTGGGTTTTTCAACTATTACAATATGTCAGTGCATTATAAAACTTATGAAAATGAAAATATTTGAAAGAAATTTAAAAGAAATGAATGATATAGTAATATAGTACTTGTACACAGTATTTAAGGTTGATGTAAATATAAAAGTGCTAAGAATTTTCCTTGAAATGTTTGATTAGTATGCTAATTATATGCAAATAAAATATGCTAATTTTATGCAAATTAGCGCCCCTCTTCAAATTTTATTTGTGGAGAACACGTAACTCAAATCATCAAACAGTAACTTGCCATGATGTCATAGTTTGTTTATGCATGCATGACAAAATGTGCATCCATGAATGATGGTAATCCCGATTTTACTATTTCGCTCATTCAGACTTTCGGGGCATTTTCTTCATGTTTAGTCAATTTTAGTGTAGGTTTTTCAAATTATTAAGGTTATGGTGAAGTTTATTCATCAGGAAAGTAGTTGGTATGTACAATCACGAAAACTATTTTCAAGAGATTACCCAGAATATTAATTTATGTAACTCTAATATTTTTAAATCAAGCTAGATTTGTAAACAATAGATACTCCCCGAGTTGTCCTTCAAAATCAATGAAGGTCCACAACATTGTAGGTAAAGATTGTTTTTGCGACAGGATACCCAGTGCTCCCAAAATCAAATGAGCGAGAAAATATCTACTTATATCTACTTAGATAAAACGGCCTTATTTTATGTATTTAGCTGTTAGAGTCAGTGATTTTCATGTACTGTAAAGGGGTTAATTATTCACTGGGTTTTAATTTGGCTTATTTCGCTGATTGGAAAATGTGCTAAATTAAAACCCAGTGAATATGTAAAATTTAGCATAGAACACTTTATCTAAATAATAAAACCGTGAATTTAAAACCCACTGAATGTGCCTGAAATGGCAAATCAGTGAAATTTAAACCCAGTGAAAAATTAGTCATTTTACAGTAATTGCAAAGTGAGAATTCAACTTGAAGTTCAAGCCCTGTTTTTAGAGAAACCATAATTTAAAGAAATCTAAGTGATTGGCAGAGTGGATGTTCAAATAATTTAACCTAATATCTAATAATTTTGACTGTACTCATTCTACCTAAAATTTAATTTATTATATTATTAACCTTATTAACCTCTCAAGGTTCGTCACTGGTAGCAATATCAAAAGTGTAAAACCAAGATATTGAATAATGGTATATGACGATTAAATGCATACAATTTACACAAAACATTCTTGAAAAACAAGTAATAAAGGGTGTTTACTGGACTGATTTTTGCAAAGGTCAAGACCCTTCTTCTTGCAATCAAACGACATGAGCTTTTCCCACCCTTCTCTGCTTGTTTATACAAAAATGTTAATAAAAGATTGTTATCCTAATTGTTTGGTTAAAATTCTTAGGCTGTGTAAACATTTGTTGATCATAGATGCACTAGAATTTGGTTAGTGAATTTGTAGATGTTATTTATAAAACATGTTGATCTCATAGTCTCGAGTTATGCACTTAGAAGCCATGTTGGATTGCCATTTGAAAATGGGGGTGTAACCACATTCAAACAGATTGAAGAAAAACGTAATCCATTGACTGTCTTGAGTAGCCGAAAATACTACATTAATATTAAATATTACCACAATTATTAGTGATTTTTCAGAGCTAGTCCAATTTTTGATCATTTGAAAGCACTGACTGCACGTGGTGTGAATGTCTCACGCGAGAAACGAATAATAAGCACGACTTGATAAAGAACTGGGCAAAGACGCCATGTTGAACTGAATTGGCCTGAAAAGCACCGAATTTATGTGTACTAGTGGCCTCAGAAGAAATATTAACCCGACAATTTATTGAACAACGAAGCTGACTGTCTACTTGTTTGATTCGGGTGTTATTGAATATTTTAAAAACGCAGTGTGGTGTCAGTTCTCCGTGCTGACAAGTGAAATGCGTGACAGTATTTCAAACAATGTACATTGCGGTCCGCCATCTTGAATTTCTAGACACACATTAACTGAAAAATGTACCGATGGTCGTCGCCGTGAACGCCACTTTGAAACACATTTGACACTTAATAATCTCGCACGATTGTATGAAATACGCTATTTCAACGACTCGTGTCTTTTTGTGTAAATGTGTGATGCACAAAAGCAGTAGTTAGGTGACGACGTCAACATGCCACTTCGAAACATGATTCGAGAAAATGGCCGCCATCTTGAGCAATTTTGCATGAAGACAGCACAGTCCTCGGCGGCGATTTCTCAAAACGTAGAATACGTATGACTTTAATTGTCAAGTTGTTGTATATTAGAGTGTATATCATGTGTGTAACACGTACCTATAATCGGCAATGTAGTGATCATAGTGTATATTTGGCGTCGACGTAAAGGCGTGTGTGTAGCTACGCCTGCCATGGAGGTGCGTGTAACCAGGCACTAGAACACGGAAAGGGACAGCCCGAGTTCATTTATAAGAGGGCTCTCGACAAATTCGGAAATACTGGTCACAGAACCTCATGTTATCTCTGTAAATCAACCTTTTTAGAAAATATATATTTACATATTAGATTTCAAAGTTTGGTCAGATCATAGCGATGTGATATCTTATTTGGCATGACCTACATAACATTAAACTATTGTTTCGGGGGAAATTGTAATGTTCATGTTTTCTTTTTTATTCAACGGAGCCAACGTAACGGCACGCCCATCGCGACATAATTTAATCCGCGTTTTTCAACTGAACGAAGTTGACACTTACCGCGAATTGGTACTATGGTAGATACATCAAAGTTATCAGTCATTTAAACTACTACAACAAATTAACAACACAAAATCAACTTAATATATAATATATAGACAACCACACTGATGCAAATATGTGAATGGAAATTGCTACAAACTGTATAAACGAATTGTTACGTCTTTGATAACACACAACGTGAATCCGTTATGCATGTGTTAACATAGATTACACATTTTATGAATGTACAAACGCTAATTAATTATTTCAAAGGTTGCCTTGTTTTGAGAAATTAACAATAACTTGATTTTATTTCAACTATTCTCTGAAAATATGTCGGCACAGTTTTAATCGTATTCAAACCACAATGGAGTGATATGACCTCTATGAACCTGCGAACTTACCATAACAGTAGAGTATAACAGTTTTTGAATGATGAACGATTATCTATATTTTCAGTTACACGCTGTTTTTTTATACACGCTAAATAGATTAAACATCGACACTGAAACCGAACAAGGCTGAAACCGAACAAGTTCAGGGATTTCTGTACCACATGTACCGTATCGTCCATGTGGTACAATACTAGTGGGTGTGTGACTATTGTCATTTTGTAAAAAAAAATGCAATAATTATACGTGTAGATAATTTGTGGAAATACTCACTCAGTTGGACATGCTGGGTCATACAGTTCAGCCATTCCGTCGTGTTGAAACTTAAGTTGGACCGCAACACAAATCGATAAACTTTCAACTCAACACCGCACACCACAAGTGATAGTTCAACGACGCCATTATGACTAAACTAAAACATACTTTTGCTTATAAATAAAACGGACGTCTGAGAAGGAGTTAAGGCAAAAATTACGACATCATTAGGTTGATGTTTCCACGGAAACCGCTATAAATCGAGTGTGAAACAGAGCAAAGGGAATCCCCTGTACACAAACTCACTCTGGTCAACAGCCTCGCTCTGGGAACCCGGGGTTTTGGATCACGTGATTACTACGTCAAAGCAAAGCACCCCAATGGTATTTCCTCAGTTTCAAGCGTTTTGCGCATGTGTCGAATCTGTTACGACACTGTGAAGAAAACCGGTCGAAACGCAAGAAAAGAGAAGAATTATCAACGTTTGGAATGTGTTAACTGGTAAGATTTAACTTCAAATTCTATTCCGGAGTCAGCAGCGCCACATCTGAACCAAATTATGCCAATTTTCTGATGAACCGGGTGTAATGTTGTTTTGTTGACATTCGGTTGGTTTGCACTATTAATGAGTTGGATGAAAATGGCCTCCTTTCAATTTAGTAAGATGAAATTATTTTTTCATAGTCATTGGAATATAAAGAATGAAGTAAAAATGATGGAACATATCTAGAAATTTAACTGTAATCATGGCGTGACGGCGTTGATTTAGTTCAAGTTTATTTGTTGCTTGTTGAACTACTGGTATCCATAACTTCGACCAGTGTATGGCCAGTTTAATGTTTAAACACGTATTTACAGTGATCAGCTATATACATGTAACTTGTTCAAACTATTATGCTCTGTGGTTGAACTCTCGAAAAGTATTTAAAGAGAATATTTTTTTTTTCCATATCAAATGATGTCACAGTCGTTTCCTTTTGCGGGGACAATGTAGGTTTCCTGACGACCCAGCATGGGGTCAGCCCTGTAAACTTATACGAGACTGAGGTCATTTATGTGGAATCATTAGAATTATTTTTAATACTAGTCTAAATTTGGTTCAATTGTGGAAAATATATAATTAACCAGGTGTGTGGCAAAATGGTTAGTGTGTCCGCTAATCATCAGAGAGATTGTGGGGGACGACTTCTATGGTTTGCACACTCAGCACTGCAAATAAGAGCACATTCTGTGGAAAGAGATACTTAACGGCCCAATTCACCCCCCCCCTGCCAAGTGTTTATTGAAGGTGTGGCTATGCTAATGAGTCCAGTTAATCAGTTGCATAGCCTATGTTTTCAGAAATTCATAGTTTATTTACAAACTGATAGCACTAATACCCATAAGCATCAAAGTATATTCTCTACATAATAAGTCAAGCCTACGTCACAAACTGGTCAAAATCCCCAAACATTGCCAGCAACCAATCACACACTAGCTTAGACAATAGCTTTCCCTGACGATAATACTTAGCAACGTTATTTCCCCCACGCTAACTTGAAAAATCTTTTGTTTTTGTCTCGTTTCCGTTTCCTGTCTGTCTTAGAGAATAACAACTCAGTCAAACTTACTTCCATAGAGTAAAGACCTGAGCTGCATAGGCATTCCGCAATGACAATGTGATGTGGTATCAACCTTTTCTTTGAATTACGTTTATTTCAACAATATCGTTCGTCTGAAATGCAGAATTGACGAATCATATTCATTTGCCACCCTCATATCGTTGAACTACGATGCCACAGCAATGACAACGATGCACGTATGCTGTCAAGCTTGCTAAGGTCAACAATAACAAAATATTCACTGCATGGCGTTCACACTTTCACTCTCATAAATACTGCTGCTGATATGCGGCAATAGTAAAAATAATAAATTTGAGACTATGATCACTGCATGCGAAAACCTGATGACCGACCACATCCACTGTAGCGCAAAATAAAACTGCTATATGCTGTCTAGTGTACATTTCCTAATGTGCACGAGGCTGGTTAGACAAGGAAAGTCGAAACTTGTATTATCATAAATAAATATTTTTAGTCATCATAAAAAAATTTATTTTAGAGAAAACAAAAATTGTTGAGATTTAGCTAAGAGCCTGTGTGTGGGCACACAGTTATGATATGAATTTGCTATTTCCGAAATACGCTCTTTATCATCAAGTTACAGTAACAGTAAACAATACTAAACACGGCATTCATTTCATTGAAACCCGATTAGGGGTACTTCTGGCTCGTACTCTTTGTGGTGACTTTTTAAATTTGCAAACATGATTTTCATTGTCTTCATTGAATCCGCTATGTGATAATGAGAAAAAAATTTAGGAACTGTCATAAATACTATGTATAATCACTGCTGTGATATTCATAGTCACATACACTTTGGCACGACATAATCGACCTGTAAGTTCAAGAAAAAAAAATAAAATGGTGGAATATAGAATATATAGCTTTTGCTCTATGAACAAGCTTATGACCATCAAAAGAAGGTGCTTAGTGCTGTATCTAAGGGAAATGATGTGTTTGTTGCAACAAAAATCGGATCGGGCAAGTCGATGTGTTATTTCAACCATTTTGTCAGTTTACTAAAACATGGTTTGCACAAATATTTAGAAATTCCATCGTCTTCATTCACTTGCCCACAAACAATTTCCAACGTTGGAATAACAAATTTTGGAAACGTGTCAATGAGTATAGACCTTCTTGACTCTCGGTGAATCGGCCCAAAGCCTACACGCCGCCATTGTATTAATCTGTGATGACCCCAGACGTTCACTTACAATACAGTGATGCTGATTGGTGGCACCAGCTCCTTGGCACGCCCAATCAAATGACTCAATTTAACTGCAGCGAAATGCAGCTTTTCCTAACATTATCACACACAGGTTTGTGGGTCATTAAGAATGGCCAGATTTAGCGAAAGTGTCAAACTTGACGGCCTCAATGATTGTATGGATGGGTCTGTCATCTCACGACAATAAATCGGAAGTAGACAAAAACATCTATAAGACATCATTTTTAGGCCATTTTTAATGTTAATAGATGGTGTCATTTGTTCATGATTAGTGAAGAAATAAGTGTTGGAAGATATTAGTGTCTATGATATTTCAAATAATTACTGAGTACCTGTAAATTGCCTACTGTCACCGCCATATTGTTTTGGATACCAAAACAACGACATGGCCAGTTAAGTTGTTGACTGGTTTGATATGAACCACTCAAGATTATTACATGATTATTATAAAACTGAGTAAATGTGTGCAGTATACTAGTAACATTGGGTTGTTTAGAGAGAAGACTGTTTCTTGAAATTTATAACTTTAAAATCATTGAGATGAATGAGACAATTGATCCCACCAGGCAGGAATTTTTTTCAATAAACTATTTAGAATATCTATCGCTTATTTGGTAGTAAATCGACCAAAGATTCATAGTTATTAGGCATTACTAATTGGATTCTATAGCAAATGAAAGCATCTTTTTGCGATTGAAGCGTCTTTTATAGAGTACATCAATATGTTTAATTTTTTGTATGACAACATAGCCACTTGTCATATGACAAAATATTGGATGAAATACGAATGAAATGGAATTGTATCTCCTGTAAATATTCAGTGTTCTCCCCAGAAAAACTACATACCTACTGGTAAATTTGCATAACAATAGGATGTGTTAATGACTGCTATTGTACTCATTGTTATCTAAAATTTAACAGTTAGGAACCCCTACTCTATAATGCCTTGGGGATTACCCTGATATTCTACCTGTTACTGCTGATGTTTTTATTTGGTACAAACATAAAAATAAAACCCAGCAAATATTGTTTTGGACACTAAAACATTATCATTGCCAGCTGAGTTGCTTACTGGGTTTCAATGTGCATCTTGAGATTGTTATATGATTAGAAGTGGTTAGACCAAACCATTTTAGGAGGGGGTGTCGTTTGGCTAAATATGCAAATTTACTAGCATTATGCCATGCACTAAACCATGGAACTATAAACCACAGGAAGAACAGCGAAACTAAGAGGATTAAAAAAAACTTTGTCCTAGTTTAACTTACAGTGCTTTCACTTTTGTTTCCACGACATTAGTCATACTCCATGTTAGTTGCCGCCGATACGCCCGTATCAACCGCTTTGCTGGGACTTGAAAAAATAAATTTAATATCTGCGCAGTAAAATATTTCGTTCACTATGCATGTGCAAACAAGTCGGTCTGTAGGGTGACCTTCAGTGTACCGGAAGTCAGAGTTTAGCGAGTTTTCATCATTTTCAATGTCGTTTTTGGATTACTTTTTTTTTTTTTAACCCTCGAAAAAATAAGGTTGCGAAAATTTGCGAGACATGGGGTTTTGTATGCTGTTCGTTGTTGAGATACCCCAACTTATTCCGTGTTTCCCTTCGATCGCCATAAGTGGCAATGTGTTTTTTTTTTCCCGTTGAATGTCGCTCATAAATCAGTGTTTTGTCTTGGCGCCATTGTTTTTTTTAATGTATAACCAAAACAACTTGATCACGTGATCTCCCGAAGTTGCCTGATTGTCTCCAAAAATGACCGATAGTCAGAGATTAACGTTCATTTGCGTAAATTGGCTTATTTTTCAATGCGACGAAATAAACAGTCAAAATAAACATTCAACATTGCGGCATCTATCATAGTTCCAAGGAAACGAGGTGGTTGTTCTTCCTGTGGTTTATAGTTCCATAACTAAACACACCAGACACATGCGAGTCATATTTTGTGTGGACAACTTTGTCATTGTCATATTGCAATTTATAGAATTAAATGAAATAAATTGAAATGTTTTTGTATCTTCTATTTATATACAACATATCCAAGTCCCTCACTATTAGTTTGACATCTCCTTTAAATTTATTCCAATCGTAACACTAACAGACGTGCATAGCAAACCAGTCAGCAACTTAGCTGGCAATATTGGTCTTTGGAAACAATATGGTGGTGACAGTAATAGGATTACCACATTAAGGCCATACCTGCTCTTTCAGTAGATGTAATGTGCATTTCAAAAATATAAAAACAGACCAGGGATTTATTTTAACAAGGGAACAAGGGCGCAGCGCCCTCATGCTATGGCCATGCGCCCCCTTACCCAGGGGAGCAGATTCTCCGGCAACCATAACATTTTGAATGACCAGGGATCACATGTGTCTACAGTCTTCAACTGTGACCAATCTGATAGTAATTTTGGCCTCAAGGAAGCCATAGAATGCTCCATTTTAACTTTTAACATTTTAACCCTGGTAGGGAGAATCCTATCTCCCCAAATTGGTGGCGACGCTGAATTGCAGTGTTCCTTCTTGCAGTTTTTTTCTAGAAAAACCCCTGCAGATATTATTAGACATGTAGCACTGAAATCAATAAAATAGAAGAGCACTCACTCCAAAATTTCAGCACTCATTCCAACTTGCAAATTTCCCTTATGCAGAGTAAACTTTGGCACCAA